GAGCTGTGCCACCAGCACTGACAAGTCTCTTAGTGCCCAGCACCTCTGTCTCCACTCCTCCCCCAGCCCTCTGTCACCTCTGTCCCCACTCCTCCCCCAGCCTGGAGCCGCATGGGCTTTTTGTGTCCCAAGGGCAGGACCAGCACTGAGCCTTACTGACCCTCCTGCAGTTGTCCTCAGCCACTGACCATGTGTGTCCAGCTCTCTGTAGAGCTTTCCTACCCTCACCATGTGTGTTCAGCTCTCTGTAGAGCTTTCCTACCCTCAGGCAGATCCACACTCACACCCAATGTAGTGTCCTCTGCAAAGTCTCCGAGGTCTTACTTCATCTGCTCTAAATTACACCCAGTGTAGTGTTCTCTGCAAAGTCACCGAGGTCTTACTTCATCTGCTCTAAATAAGTAAGTTCATTTCTAGGAACACAGCAGAGAATCTGAGCCAATATCAGATTAGACTGAGAATGAGCCCTCGATTCCACTCTCCACTCAATGCTTATCATGCTTTCATTTCATACAGAAACAAACTTTTGTGCCTTTTTCTGCTGTACTGAAGATATTGTGTGGTGATTCTCATCAAAAAACCCAACACACTCAACTACAAGTAGATGGTCCAAGTGTTAAAGTCAAATTTACATAGTATTGCTTTCATCTTAAAATAAACACAACCTATTTGGTCACAAGATACAACAGAATTTCCTGGGCCTTTAAAAATCTATAATTCTGCATGTTGTTAGGACAAATACCTCATTTCCAATAGCTTTGATTTTTTCCAGTGCATCAAGGAACCACTTTTCTGCAGTTTTCCAGCTAAGAATTGAGGGGATGGGAGGAAAGAAAAGTAAATTAGTGACGAGTTTTCATTAGCAATGTGAGATAAGTGTATCACAAGGCAGAGTTCTTTAACATAATTTCATCCTATGAGTGAAAGTAGATGTAAACCCCAATAATTTATATTTGGATATATTTTGCATGGGAGCTAACAAGACAAAGTTTAAAAAATCAGAATCAAAACAAGAATATTCACTAAACACTTGTTATATCTGTTAGGGTTGGGTTTTTTCCCAGAATCTATTTGGAACCTCCTGAGCTGATTAAATGTTTTGCTGTATGAAATGTTAGAGTGTGTGTGCAGACAGAAGCTTTATCAGGCATGCAACTACACAGTGAGAGGCACAGAGAAGAGATAATATCCATACAGAGGACAAGATCCATCTCTGCATGTTCCTCAAGCATTAAATTTTTCCCCCTGTGCAATCTCAAACAAGGAAGACCAATGCAGAAAGTAAAGGTTTAAGGTAAACACCATCTCAGCTGGATCCAAAAGACACTACAGATCAATGTGAGTCCTTCAGAAGATATGTTGGTACATTATACTTCAGGATAGTCCATGTTTTAAGATAGCATTGGATCCTATCTTGTAAGCTTACTCTCCATTTTGGAATGCAACCACTCCAACTTCATGCATGACAAAAGGATCCTCAGGGGCAATGCTTAGAGCTTGGCTGAAAAAACGTTCAGCTAACTTGGAGTTGTTGGTCAAACCATATTCCAGTCCAATATAGAGCATTGGCAGATGGCACCTGAAAAAACCATAAAGTGTTTTTGTGTGGTTATCAGCAATGGAGCCACAAACTGTAAACAAATGCCAACTCTGCATATATTTATGTACAACCAAGTAAAAGCTGATTTGAATGCAATATTAACCTAAGGCAGAGTTTAAAAGACTTTACATCTTTGTTAGTTATTGACAAGAATTTGAACTCCCAGAGATAATTGTAACCTGCTCTGGAATGACATGGATTTTCCCAGTGTTTAAGTTAATTTTCAGGGTTTTTTCCCCAGTTTCCTTCTTATATTTAAACTACAAACAGAGTAAGGAAGAAGCAATAACTACAAGGATTACATTTCCTAATAACTACAATCAAATAGAAAAATTTTAGATGCAACATGACACAATTAGTTCATGACTCCTTTTACAACCGTCTCCCACAGCAGGAAAGAGCTGCTGGAAGACACTACTATTTCTCCCACAGTTGGAAAGAGCTGCTGGAAGACACTACTATACAGCAGCTGATGACCTGGTGTGAGACCCATGACTCAGAGAACTTTCAGGCAGAACAGAGGATTATTTTTTTTTCTCCCTTGTTCCCTACCTGACAATTGCTGCAAATGCATTGCTACTGCTTAAAGGGATGTAAGTCAAGAGTCTACACTAGCTATGCAGTAATTTTAATCTCCCCAAACCAAACATTTTTTCCATACCCTTTCATGAGCTGTGCAGCTGTGAAGTATGCAGCCATTGCTTGGTCATGCTCACTCTCCACGGCAAAGGAATGTCCATATGCTATCCATGCAGGTCCATAGGTTCGCTCGAGTGTAGTTGCTTTGCTAAAAACAGGAGCAAGTCACAAGCAAACACGTCTGAAATTAAACTGCATCTGCTTCAGATCACAGAATCATCAAGTTCGGAGGAGACCTCTAAGATCACCCAGGCCAACCATGAACCTGTCACTGCTAGAATCACTAAACCCTAAACCAGATCCTCCAGTGCCA